GCATTTTTTTAAGTCTACCAATCACATTTTTTGTCATTTCTTTTCTATTTTAAATTTATATTTCAAAACTTCAACGTCTCTAGATCCACTCTTATCAGCAATACTTTTCATTAAATATATATACTTGCTGTGATTCAAGTTCGAGTCTTGATTTGATGCTATTTGAAATTTAATCTAATTTGAAGCCTTTATCTCTTTGTTACAGGAAATGCAACCGAACCTTTGGTTTCACTCTACATTTATTTTTCTAAAAGTAAAGTTAGATTTAAGCGTCCCTAGTATTGGTAGGAAGACCTAAAGGAGCGCACCTTGTCCGGAGTCCATAGTATGCATGCTCCCAAAAAAATCAATCCATAGTTTACTCTCCATTTATTTCCCGTTATGACTACACGAAAGTTTATTTTTCACAAATCACTGATCGTTGGAGGCTCAATGCGACCAAAAATTTATCTCCATTCGTTTATATGAATTGCATTGATTCCATACTTTAAACCTCAGGCGTTGACTGGTCACATAGTGGAAAAACTGCTGACTAACTAGTATATATATATATATATATAAGTCTCTATCACTGCAAATTCGCATACATAAAGTGCATATATGCATATACACACTTCATATCTGTTAATGTGCATTGATAGAGGTTTTTATATAAAATTGCAGTGTGTCTATATGTGTATGTTGTCTTTATTCGCTGGAGTTTGAGTGCAAATCAAATTCGCTATCTGTAATTAGGCATTTTAACATGCTTAATGCTCATTATTCTATTGCACCTACGAAAAGTTTGGCATACATTAAATCCGACCAGGGCTGGATTACATTTTTGCTTGCACACAACTGCGCTCTACATTTTCTTGTGATTGTATTTGCCGTCTAAACAGATCATTGATTACAATGTGACGATTTTCAGACTGAAAGGAACGAATTTTATGCTTTATTTCACTTTCGTATGTATAGCGAAAGTGTGTTTTTTTCCTAAATGACCTGCATTTAAACGAACTGCCAGTCTAATTGGAAAAAGACCGGCCTGAAACTGGTTTAATAATTTGTAATTATCCCGTTTGACCCTAAGGGTATACTTTATTTATTAGACGTGTCCGAACCCCGCCTGGACAAGGTATAAGCTTTAACTTATCCTGAAAGGACGACTCTTCGACAGAAACAGTCCAACTATTACACTGTCTGACACTAAAACAACTGTACATTTTGATTCTCAACATTGTAACACATCATAAACACTTATAATATCTTTACATCACCTTCGAGCATGAGCTCCACACTTGATCTGCGTGCCACTTCTTTAAAACGCATCTCCACAAGACGCATTCGTCCCAAATCTTGGCTTTGCATCTCCGCTCCGCATCTTATCTACTCACCTATACACTCCATTAACCCCCTTTTCAGCTTCTACGCATTCGGAGCACAAATTGGTTTGCATTATTGTTGTTGAGCTTACTTCCATTTTAAGTGAAAATGTATCCGGTGAATAAAGTGCAATTTCAATTCCATCTCTTGGTCAGCTGTCGGGTCAACCAAAAGCTGGCTAATAGACATCCACCATCATCTTCTGGTTGAATCGTCCTTCGAATCTCTTAATCACACATTTTCAATCGAAATGGAAGCAAGCTCAACTTCTCATCGCATATATCTATCTATCTATCTATATTTATTTATTTATTTATTTCGCTGATTGATTGAGTATGGAAGTTAACTTCATCTAGCCATTATGAACAACCTAAGCCAGATTACACCCATTCAGCTCCATGAATTCATTGAGCTAAAGGACAGGTATGCTTTTCGAGGCATTTCCTGTGTGATTTATCCTGGGACCATATCACATTCTGTGATTGACGATAAAGTGGCAACAAATGACATCAATAAATTCATCGTGTTTCAATAAACTGCCAAACTTTCGACAACCAACCGAATTAATACCTTTTGAGCAAATTCATCTGTTTTCTCGGTCAGTCCTAAGGTTACATTTAGTGTGAAAGTATGTGTGAATAAGTGATTCATAGCGTAATTTCATCAGAAGATAACGGCTCTTGCCGTTTGATGTTAAGTTGGTACAGTCCACAAAATCTTCTTTGGTTTGGATGAAACCGAGCTGAACTTTCGTCGGTCGTGCCATTAAACTGAAATTACCGGGGTTAGAATTCGTTATTACATATGCATTAAGTTTTCATCAAGTCAAGAAGACTAGCCGGCTTTACTTTACATGCTGTATATACAAAGTACTAAAATAAACTGAAAATTATGTATATATAAAGAGTATATTTTGAAATTTATTCCAAAATGTGTTATAATATAATTAATTATTTAATTAAGAGAGTCATCCAAATCCTTGATGCATAAAGTTTCACTTGTAGTGGACATTTAACAAGCTCTAAATATAATCGAACATAAAGATGCAAAAGACATGATTTTATCGATATTAATATGGCTTTTTCATCTCCAACTTGGTATGTCGTGTATTAGCCTGCGCATTTGAGCACCACCTGATAGACTATTTTCTGTATCATAATGAAATCTCTTTTTTCTTGCATCATTTAGGCCACGGCAATCCCTACGAGTCTGGATGGTCAAAACTGTCTGTACCACCGTCTTGTCAGAGTCACGTTGTGAATCGTCAAGATGGAGATGTATCCAAGGGCACTTCTGACTCTGCCGTCTGTCGTAGTCAGTCGGCCTGGGAGCGGTTGATAAGCAATAGCAGATCCTCTGGGTCCGCCACGTCTAGTGGTCAACGCTTAAACTGTCCACCAGGTCTGCACTTGCAAGCTGCCTACCCGATGGGCGAGTGTCATACCAGACGCCAAGGGCCTGATCGCCCGGCCACAAACCAAAATACCAACCGACTGGTACGAGAAGAAGTGGTCTTGGAAGAAGAAGAAATGCATTTCACCATGATACAAATTGTCTGCTGTAAAGATCGTGAGTAAAATTGTTTTCATTTGATCTACTATATAACATTGAATGTACGTAAAAATGTATAAATATGAAAAAGAGTATTAATAAATGAAGTAAAGCTCGGGCTGACTCATCAAAAGCGACTGTATAGATCGCCAATACAGGACGACAGATGGAGCTATCTAAAACATAAAATGTTGTGGGACATAGCGACTTCGTAGATAAGCGAAGAGAGTCAGTAGAAATTAAAAAAATAGCCAACATTTAGAATTGAAGAAACGAATGTGGATAAATGAGCTGAAAATAACCCTGGCTATTGGCTATTGGGCGTGATTAGGCTCTAGTAACTCGAGTGACTCACAAGCATTGCATGCTCACAATATGCATTCAACCACATCAAAAATACGTATCATTATTGAAGTTGGGCCATATGCATATCAGTTTCTCGCTCCTTTAAGCATTTAGTGTGAGTATAAAATATCAAAAAAATAATGAGATTCATTATCAGGATCTTAGAGTCTGTGAATATTGGTGTGG